AACCACAATCACACTCACACAGCACGGTGAGGAAGTGCCTTGCTCATGGAAACAACAACAACAGTAAGAAATAACTAAGGTGGGAATTCAACTCCTAACTCTGCATAAAGTACAACCAGAGTATCTTTGACTACGTGGTACAGAAGTTGGGAAAGCTTAGTCAGATTTGGCATCACCCCGCGAGGAACTGCAAGCGGTACTTTTATTACTAAGCCGTGATTGCATTTTTAGACTGCACTCCTGAATATGTGATGTAAAAATACCTGCCCTCTCTGTGCTATGAGAACAGTAAAAACAATAGAACGACTCCATCTGCTCCTGACCTGCTTAAACCTGTTTCAGAAAACAAATCAAAACACTACTCCCCGTTATCACTCTGTACATCACTCCATCTCTGCTAGTACTAGTAGTAGTAGTAGTAGTGGTGGTAGTAGCAACAGTAGTAATTGAGAAGTAGTTTTCTCACTGGGTTAGTCTGGGGTAGGATCAAAAGTAGTAGTAGAAACAGATGTAGTAGTAGAACCAGTAGCAGTAGTAGTAGTGGAAACAGAAGTAGTCGTTGTAGTAGAAAGAGAAGTAGTAGTAGTAGTAGAAACAGTAGTAGAACTAGAAAAGCACTCAGAGAGCGCAGACCTCCGCCAAGGACTACCCCTATTTTTTATATAAATTGCGATAAAATCAGTCTTCTGGATCAGATCCGGATCAGCCTTTGGAATATGAAAGAGGATCCCATTGTCCATCCCTGAGTCAAATTTCATGGGGTTTGGTCAATAATTAACCGAGATATTGAGAAACAAAATTTTTGGCCCCATTTACCACAATGTTAACTAAAATTTCAAAGTGATCCAGAATCCAGGATTTCTTCTGGATCACCCCCAAAATGAAATCAGTTCTTCCTTTTCACATTTCCAACAAATCCTGAAAATTTCATCAAAATCGGTCCATAACTTTTTGAGTTATGTTGCTAACAGACAAACAAACAAACAAACAAACAGACAAACGCCGGCAAAAACATAACCTCCTTGGCGGAGGTAAAAAGAAGTCGTAGTAGTATTTGTAGAAAGAGAAGTAGAAGTAATTGTAGTAGAAACAGAAACAAAAGTAGTATTCGAAACAGTAATAGTAGTAGTAGTAAAACAGTAGTAATAGTAGTAGTAGTAGTAAAAACAGTAGTAATAGTAGTAGTAATACTAATAGTAATAGTAATAGTAAGTAGTAGTAGTAGTAGTAGTAGTAGTAGTAGTAGTAGTAGCAAAAACAGTAGTAATAGTAGTAGTAGTAGTAGTAGAAGCAAAAGTAGTAGTAGTAGTAGTAGTAGTAGTAGTAGTGGTAGTAGTAGTAGTAGTAGTAGTAGTGGTAGTAGTGGTAGTAGTAGTAGTAGTAGTAGTAGTAGTAAAACAGTAGTAATAGTAGTAGTAGTAAAAACAGTAGTAATAGTAGTAGTAGTAAAAACAGTAGTAAAAGTAGTAGTAGTAGCAGTTTATTTATCTTATTTATGTATTTATTTTGGGCAAGTAATCATATTATTATAGCCCGACCGATATGGATTTTGCTGTGGCCGATATGAAACCAATATAATGGAAGTTGGAGCTGCCGATAGCCGATATAATCACTGATATATTTAGTGATGTAAAAATTCACTGTAAATGTTGAATTGTTTAAAAAACTTAGGTTTGGCTCTGGTGGATTTTAAATTGGGTTTATTTAGGCAACATTTATTGTTATTCTGCCTCTTTACATCATATTTACAGACAGTAGGTTGACTTAATGGCATTTTTGCATCACATTCTAGACACTAGTGATGGGTATATTCCAGTTCTATTTAGAGAACCGGCTCTTTTGGCTCGGCTCACTAAAAGCTGCTGGTTCTTTTGGCTCCCAAGTGGCTCTTCAGATTGTTTTGTTGCAAGCAGGACTAAAGCACGTCTAAAGCAGGACTGAATCAGGACTGAACCAGGTCTAAACCAGGACTGAAAAAGGACTAAACCGGGACTTATTTATTTTATGCTAAACTACAGTCAAATATGCTCGTTTTTTTATTTTTTATTTTTTTTAATCCTACGTACACGCAAATTTCTCAAAGTTTTGTTTTTAGCCGCTGCCGCTGTCAAACCACGAATCTGCACGCGGCGTGAAGAGAAAAAAAGTGAGAGAAAGAGAAAACACGGCTCCCAATAAGGATCAGGCTCCCGTCGTTCCCTTCAAAGAGCTGGTTCTAAGAGTCATTTCGTTCGCGACGGACCCATAACTAGTAAAGAAAGTAGCGCTATTAGCCTTTAGCCGTAAATACGTGCGCGCCGCGGTAATTAATTATATGCGCAAATGTCATAATTCACACGTCTGTTCACAGCTCATTTACATATCAGTGCAGGTCCAGTAGCAAATATACGGCCAATATAGTCACTTTAGAACAGACCAATAGAAAACAGTCTGTTTATGTGCGGGAGCTACAGCAGCTAACCCATAACAAATGACAAAAACTAGCTTCAGAGTCGACATATTTCCAACACTCACCGCTCATACAGGCTCCTCCTCACATCACAAATCTGCACTAATAAATGTCCTTTTAATCCAGACTCAAACCGATTGTCCGTAAAAAGAAAATAATCTCAGTGTTTGGATCTGTGTCTGCAGGTGTAAACAAACACACGTGAGTGACGCGACTCTGTGGTGTGTTCAGGGACAGTACGGACACACACAGACAAATGACTCCGTAGATAAATACTGATGTGGAGCCACATATTAGGACATTTATCTGTCTGTAAATTGGATTAAATGAACAGAATGTAGAGTCTAAGCTTTATAACGAGGTATAACATGCCCACGTGAAATATCGGCCCCTATCAGCAAGCATATCGGCCGATAGCCGATATGCCTAAAGTTGCCCATATCAGCCGATAATATCGGCCAACCGATATATCGGTCGGGCTCTACATATTATACTTTCTTTTACAATGGAACAGAGTATTATCCATACTCATCCATATTATCCATTCATAACAGAAACAAAACAACAACAAAATATTTCCCCAAAAAGAAGTAGTAGTAGTAGTAGTGGTAGTAAGTAGTAGTAGTAGTAGTAATAGTAGTAGTAGTAAGTAGTAGTATAGTAGTAGTAGTAGTAGTAGTAGTAGTAGTAGTAGTAGTAGTAGTAGTAGTAGTAGTAGTAGTAGTAGTAGTAGTAGTAGTAGTAGTAGTAGTAGTAGTAGTAGTAGTAGTAGTAGTAGTAGTAGTAGTAGTAGTAGTAGTAGTAGTAGTAGTAGTAGTAGTAGTAGTAGTAGTAGTAGTAAGAGTAGTAGTAGTAGTAGTGGTATACTCAGTCCAGTTGACAAATTGAATTTCCCCTTAGATGGATTCTACCTAGAAGACTGAGGGATTTTACGCACATCTTACTCTGAGCTAGAATCTAAAACAATAGAATTACTCCGTCTGCTCCTGACCTTCTTAAATCTGTGTTTGAGAACAAAAACACTCCTCCCCGTTATGACTCTGTACATCACTCCATCTCTCTCAACTCTTCCCAGAAAACATGGCATCACAGATCTCTGTCAGGGCTCTGTCAGGGCTGGGATATAAAATAAAAAGTAGTAGTACTTCGACTTGAAGTAGTATGGATGGTAGTAGTAGTCGTAGGAGCAGTGGTAGTAGTAATAGTAGTGATATTAGTAGTAGTAGTAGTAGCAGTAATAGTAAAAGTAATAGTAGTAACAGTAGTAGTAACAGTAATAGTAGTAGTGATAGCAGTAGTAGTAGTAGTAGTAGTAGTAGTAGTAAAAAGTAGTAGTAGCAATAGTAGTAGTAGTAGTAGTAGTAGTAGTAGTGGTGTGGTAGTAACAGTAGTAGTAGTAGTAAAGTAATAAGTAGTAGTAGTAGTAAGTAGTAAGTAGTAGTCATAGTAGTCATAGTAGTAACAGTAGTAGTAGTAGTAGTAGTAGTAGTAGTAGTAGTAGTAGTAGTAGTACAGTAGTAGTACTAGTAGTAGTAGTAGTAGTAGTAAGTAGTAGTAGTAGTAGCAGTAGTAGTAGTAGTAGTAGTAGTAGTAGTAGTAGTAGTAGTAGTAGTAGTAGTAGTAGTAGTAGTAGTAGTAGTAGTAGTAGTAGTAGTAGTAGTAGTAGTAGTAGTAGTAACAGTAACAGTAGTAGTAGTAGTAGTAGTAGTAGTAGTAGTAGTAGTAGTAGTAGTAGTAGTAGTAGTAGTAGTAGTAGTAGTAGTAGTAGTAGTAGTAGTAGTAGTAACAGTAGTAGTAGTAGTAGTAGTAGTAACAGTAGTAGTAGTAGTAGTAGTAGTAGTAGTAGTAGTAGTAACAGCAGTAGTTGAAGCACAGCTTTTTTTTTTCCTCACTAGGATTGTAAGAAGCAGTAGTAGTGTTAGTAGTAGTAGTGGTTGTGGTAGTAATAGTAGTAGTGGTAGTAATGGTAGTAGTAGTAGTGGCCATAGTCGTAGCAGTAGTAGTAGTGGTACTAGTAGTAATAGTAGTAGTTGAGGCATGGCTTTTTTCTCACTGGGTTACTCTGGGCTAGGATCATAAGAAGCAGTAGAAGTAGTAGAAGTAATAGTAGAGTAGAGTTACTCTGGGCTAGTATCTAAAACAATAGAATTACTGCATCTGCTCCTGACCTTCTTAAATCTCTGTTTGTGATCGAAAACACTCCTCCCCGTTACGACTCAGTTACGACTCCATCTCTCTCAACTCTTCCTGGAAAACACGGCGTCAGATCTCGGTCGTCCCCGCGCTAAACAACTCCTCGCACTTGAAAGCGTTTTTTTTTTTTTTTTTTTTTTTTTCCGAAGGCTCCCAACCTCAGCTGTTCCCCGGCACGCCACTAGAGTTTTACCTCTTTCCCATTCGCCCTATCCGCTTTTATCCGCGTTGAAAGCCAAAAGAACACGCCGGCTGCCTTTCCCGTCCTCGCGCTGAAGTTTGAGAGCATTTGAAGAGCCCAGTTTGCAGCCCGCGCGCCCATAAAAGCCCTCCATGTGACTCGAGTGAATCATCTTACCTGGATCCACTTGTCTGGGATTGCCATAGCCAGGCGGTAATCAAAGCCCAGGCCCCCCTCCTCCACTCCGCGGCACAAGGCGGGCATCCCTGACACGTCCTGTGGTGCACAAGATGGAGAATGTGAGGCAGGTGTTTTTTTTTTTTTTTTTTCACAGACTCAACAATACACAGCAAGAGGTGCCAAATGTGACTTTATACGAGCAAATTTATAGCAGGGATTGACACTGATAAGGAAATAAAGATGTTTTAAAGGTGCACTAAAACCAAAAAAAAAAATCATAACGCCTTTGAAAAATTGTGGCTGATAAACTTTTACATACCGTATTTTTCAGACTATAAGTCGCACTTTTTTCTTGGTTTGGGTGGTCCTGTGACTTACTTATACTACGAATTATATATTAAAATTTTCACACTGATAGCCGTGAGAGGGCGCTCTAGGCTTGTGTGCCTGTTACTCCTGTACCACTGTCACTTCACTCCACTAGCATGTGCATGTCTCCTGCAGAAAAAGCCTCTGTCCTGCTGTAAGTCCTGAAATATTCAGCCGAAAAAGGTAATCGAGCAGCAGAAAGAAAGTTTGGAGTGAGCGAAAAACTTGTGCGGGACTGGCGGAAAGCGGGGATGGAGAACACAGCTTCATGGTAACCAGGAGGATGCACCATGTAACTTTCCTAGAAGTCATTGGATGGATCGACAAAGCCTGGACTTCAGTGACACCATCACATCAGGAAACCATCCTGTCGGGATTCAGAAAGACCGAAATAATTCTAACTGGAACTGATGTTGAGTCTGACGACAGCTACACAGAAGAGGAAGCGGCGCTCTACCTCATGGATCTATGGTTTACCTCCGTAGGTCGCGAAGTAGCTCAGAAGTACACAGAGGATGAAGAATTCAATGGATTTAGTGATTTGGTAAACTTGTTCTTGTTCTGTTGTTTATGCTAGAGTTATCTGAAGAACTGTTCATATGTGATGTTAACATACCAGATTCAGCCTGTTGTTCTCTCTTCTACTGTCATTACTCTAACTTGCCTTTCAAGATGCCGGTTCCTGGTCTCTGATTTTATAAAATACATTTCCCCCCAAAAAGTGCGACTTATAGTCCAGTGCAACTTATGTATGTTTTTTTATTCTTCATTACGCATTTTTTGGCTGGTGCAATTTATACTCCGGAGCGACTTATAGTCTGAAAAAATACGGTACATCACACTCTTAAAGTGGAACCAAAAAAATCTGGAAGATATTTCAGTTTTTGTGATTTTTGAGTATGAAATGCATTGACTTTATGAAAGAAAATCAGCAATTAAAGGGTTAAAAGTATTTGAAAATAATAAAAAAAAAAAAATATGGATCATAAGGTGAGATGTTGGTTGAGCAAATTAAAAAAGGTTGAATAAATATTAATCCTGTGTGTTTTTTGTTATAGCCAAATGAAATTCAGTGCACAAAAATGCGCTCTAATACCTCAATGTAATTTTTTTCAAGGTGTAATTGAGGGTTAGAAAGTAGCGCAGAAGACCTCCAGACTTTTATCTGTGATGTAACAATTCTGGGAAATTCAAGTTAAATTTCTACTTGGGGAAAATAAAAGTCTATTTATTAGGGGTATAAGATAAGATATCCAAGTCTCACCATGCGATATTTATTGTGATATTTTGTGGAGGCTTACAAAACTATAAATAAACTATAAATATGCAATATTTTCCTCTTAAAATGCCTTGAGAAGACTTAATCCAAAGAACTAAGACTTAAACGTACTTAGAACTGTTATTTCTTCTTGTAGTCTGCACTGAAATGGAGCAAAGGATCATGGTCTATGTAGTTCTCTGTTTGTTTTAGCTACTGCTGCACCATAACACTTAATTTAACCAAAGAGACTTGTAATTCGGTATATTGTGATGCTCTACGATATTATTGTGAGATCTTTGACGATACGATATCTCGATATTTTGGTTATTGTTACATCCCTACAATTTATCCCTCCATGTGTTTTTTTTTTTTTAGTGCTCAGAGGAAGCGAATTTATTCAACGTGACTCAACGCCACGTGATTGAAGCTAAATACTCAAATAGCTCAAAAAGGTCAAATTAGCATAATAAGTGTCCTTTAAATAGAACGCTTTGAATACTTTGATGCTTAAATTAAGGTAATGAATAAAGAAAATAAGGGTCAAAACGTGGTGAGCTCGCAAGTTAGTCATAGCCCAGTTTTGACATTACAAAAATATTGGGTTTAGACTGTCTCCTCACCCGCTGCTGTCTTCATTCCGTCTGACTTTGGCCTACATACACCTGCATGACTGCTCCCAAGGTCAGGGCCCGTCTCCCTGGCTCCAATACGTCTAAATCAGTTCTATTCTGTGACTTTTGCAGTTTTTATTGCTGTTAAAAAGGCCCATATTACACTATGTCTGATGCATGTTATAGGTTATGTTCAGACTGCAGCCTGAAGTGACCCAAATCTGATTTTTTTCGCCCCTATGTGACCTGAATCTGTGTATCATTCGTTCATTCGTTTTTCAAATAAAAACCAAAAATAAGAAAATGAAAAACAACAATTTTCTTCATTATTTGTCTCCAAAACCAAAATGAAAAAACGGATAACCTGTTTCCTGTTTCCATGACTTAAATTGGGATGCCGGACTGAACCAGGACTGAACCAGGACTAAACTGGTCTGGTCCCAGTCTGGTCCACAGTCAGTCCTGGACTTAGTTGTAGTCTCAGTCCCAGTCTGGTCCTGGTCTTGGTCCCGGTCTCTGTCCTGATCTCAGTCATGGTCTGGTCCTGGTCTGGTCCTGTTCTGGTCCCGGTCTCAGTCCCTGTCTCAGTCCCCGGTCTCCCCGGACTCAGTCCTCAGTTCAGTCTCAGTGTCTCAGTCCCGGACTCAGTCCCGGTCCTCCCGGTCTCAGTCCCGGACTCAGTCCCCGGACTCAGTCCCGGTCTCAGTCCCCGGACTCAGTCCCGGTCTCAGTCCCCGGTCTCAGTCCCCGGTCTCAGTCCCCGGTCTCAGTCTCAGTCCCGGTCTCAGTCCCCGGACTCAGTCCCGGTCTCAGTCCCGGTCTCAGTCCCCGGACTCAGTCCCCGGTCTCAGTCCCCGGTCTCAGTCCCCGGACTCAGTCCCGGTCTCAGTCCCCGGTCCCGGTCTCCCCGGTCAGTCTCAGTCCCGGTCCGGTCTCAGTCCCGTCTCAGTCCCCGGACTCAGTCCCCGGTCTCAGTCCCGGACTCAGTCCCCGTACTCAGTCCCCGGACTCAGTCCCCGGTCTCAGTCCCGTCCCCGACTCAGTCCCCGGTCCCGGACTCAGTCCCGGATCAGTCCCGGACTCAGTCCCGGACTCAGTCCCAGTCCCGATCTGGTCCTGGTCTCAGTCCTAGTTCAGTCCGGCATCTCAATTTACGTCACGGAAACCGAAAACGGCCGTTATCCGTTTTTCCATTATTCTTTTAAACACAAAATCGAAAACTGAAAAAACTAATCATTATCCCTTTTTTCATTTTGGTTTTGGAGACAAATAATGAAGAAAACAGTTGCTTTTTTTTATTTTTGGTTTTATCATGAAAAATGAATGAACAAATGATACACAGATTTAAAACTGATACATATCTGATCTTTTGACAGTCTGAATGGTCAGGTCACATTCATCCCACCTACATGTCACAAATGTATACAAACGTTCTTGTCATACGGAAATTGTGTATGATGCAATCCCATCACTCTTGGCTGCAGCTCCGGACCCACTCGTTGTTTTCTACAGAAGTTGCTGACGCTGCCCCACAAAACGCCATGACCAAAAACCTCGTCCTTCTCCTTCTCAATCTCCTCCTTAAAAGAAATAAGCTCTACATGTTCTGGCTCCGGTACAACACCAACTTTAAAATCTCCAGATGCTCAAAGCTCGCGTCCATGTTTCGGCGACTTAAAGTTCACACTGGAGATGACATATAAGTCGCATTTAACGGGAAATGTGAACGACCTCGCAAAAAAAATCCCAAAGGAGCATTAAGCCCCTGCAGTCTGAACGTAGCCATAATGTTGTTTCCTCCTCACAAACAGACCTGGAGTTGTGTTTGTGTTTGAGTAACTCTGCGTTATTAGTCTCTCTAAATCTCCAAAGCTCAAAATGCTCCGATCCACCTTGTGATGTCATGTAGTGGTAGTTTAAGTTAACGACTCATTTTACTTTTATTTAATAGATACTGGCAGGTCTGAACTCATCCAAATAATTCTAGTGAAGATGTATGGAATTTAAAAACACAGCAGAGCAGGGCAAAGCAGAGCCACCCCCCCCACACCGTGTCGATTGTCTGACTGTTCCCCCCTCCCCTACACCGTGTGGACCTCAACCGGAACTACCAGAACTAAACCAGATCTAAATCAGGTCTAAACCAGGACTAAACCCGGTCTAAAAATAGGGTCTAAAATAGGTCTAAAATAGGTCTAAAACAGGTCTAAACCAGGACTAAACCAGGACTAAACCAGGACTAAACCAGGTCTAAACCAGGACTAAACCAGGACTAAAAACAGGGTATAAACAGGATCTAAAACAGGTATAAAACAGGACTAAAACAGGTCTGAACCAGGTATAAACCAGGACTAAAACAGGGTCTAAAACAGGACTAAACCAGGTATAAACCATGACTAAACCAGATCTAAACCAGGACTAAAAACAGAGTATAAACAGGATCTAAAAAGGTATAAACCAGGACTAAAACAGGGTCTAAAACAGGACTAAACAGGTAAAACAGAACTAAAACAGGTCTAAACCAGATATAAACCAGGACTAAACCAGGGTCTAAACAGGACTAAACAGGTATAAAACAGGACTAAACCAGGACTAAACAGGACTAAACCAGGACTAAACCAGGACTAAACCAGGTCTAAACCAGGACTAAACCAGGACTAAACCCAGGACTAAACCAGGTCTAAACAGGACTAAACCAGGACTAAACCCGGACTAAACAGGACTAAACCAGGTCTAAACCAGGACTAAACCAGGTAAACCAGGACTAAAGGACTAAACCAGGGACTAAACCAGGACTAAACCAGGACTAAACCAGGTCTAAACCAGGACTAAACCAGGACTAAACCAGGACTAAACCAGGACTAAACCAGGACTAAACCAGGACTAAACCGGTGTAAAAACAGGGTCTCAAACAGGTCTAAAACAGGACTAAAACAGGATTTAGCCAAGACTTAACCATGCTCCTCAAATCCCTCCCTCCAACCCCCTCCGGTCTGCGAAATATTGTCTGATATAAAACCCGGTCTGTGGTGCAAAAAAGATTGGGGACCACTGCAGTGGAGTATTTCCTGCAACAAGGTGTTTTCTGTTTGTGAGAAGAACGCAGGATTTGTGTGTTAAACATGTTTGTGAATGAAACCAAACAAAACACAACTCCAGCTTTGTTTTTAATGAGGAAACAACAAAACACAGATCACAAAACAGCGTAAATATGGGACCTTTAAAGACATAATATATAAAATCGGTAACGTCTTGGCACCTGGTAGCTCTATCCTGTAGGGAGACCAAACAGACTGACATCCCTCTCTGTCTCTGTCATGACTCTCTAATTACACCGGTGAATAGGTGAGTAAGCCATGTCTCGCTGTGGGAGCTGTGACGCATCTGCTGTTAACGCTCTTATCTTCCCTTTGTCTGTTTGCTTCATTAACAAAACCTCTTTACCGTTTAGCATGTCTTATCCAATCACGACACAAGGTCTGGTCCGAAAAAGTAACCCTGAAATACAAGATCTATAAAGTTTTCTAAGGGAGACTTCACACAATGGCTGATGTCAAGTTAGGTTGGTAATAATTTCTTTTCTACTATGATCCCAGAGCATTGGATAGGCCTTTTATTTGTATACTAAAGTGGCATACTAAAGATCTAACAATAACCGAAAGCATATCGTCAAAAGTCTCACAATAATATCATGGGCTGTCACAATATATTGAATTACAAGTTCCTCTGCTTTAATGCATGGTTTTATAGGAGCAACAGCTTTTAAACATAGGGGACTACATATCCCATGATCCATTTCAGTGCCGACAACATGAAGAAATACGATTTTTAATTGAATTCTTGGGATTATGACAGGAAATAATTCAAAAACCTAAATCTTGTCAAGGTATTTTAAAAGCAAAAAAGTGCCGTATCTAAAATTATATTAGCCTCTCCAAAATATTGCAATAAATATCATACCGTGAGATGCATATCGTGATAATATCGTACCGAGAGATTTGGATATCGTTACACCCCTACTGCATACTCAAATTTAGCAGACTTTTTGGGTGAAGGGTCAGATATTATTGGTTTACCTGGAATGTTCCACAGTATGTCTTATCTACAATATCCACATGTAGACACTACTAGGCAAAGTCAAATCTGTGGAAAGGCAAGCTCGCTAATGGTAAAAATGCATGTTTTTCAAGGTATTTTAAGCATCAAAAAGACAAAACATAGGTAAGTGAAAAGAAATACTGTGGAGTAGGGCTGAACGATTTTAAGAAAAAATTTAATTGCGATTTTTATGGCAGATTTTGTGATTTCAGTTTCATCAATGATTTTTTTTTTCCAAATCAAGTTTGAGTGCACATGAACATTTGCAAACATCACAGAAACTTACATCTTACCAGAGTCCTGCACCGACAGTTTGACCCTGGACTGTTATGACTGCCTATTTGTTTACGTTTTACAGACACAAAACTTAAAACCACATGGCTAATTTGCATAAACTATAAGCGCTGTGTTTTTTCTGTGACAGAGGATGTGCTGATGATGGTGAGTCTGTTCTGTGCTTCTATTGCATTGGAGATGGTTCTTGTTAAACTTTACACGAGCGGCAGGTTTAAATCATAGCCTCCTAGAGTTGTGGTGGTGAATTACTTCGTGGCACATGGATATCAACGCAGACCCTTAAATCAAAAACGATGGCGACAAGGCAACAGCGGCAGTGTGCTTTGAGTTGAGGCAGAACTATATTTCGCCCTTAAAATTGGGGCTTTGGGAGCACAGCAAAAAAAATGCAGCTTTGATGCTCCCAAAATCGATTTTTAGTCCAAAACAACAGATCATTCAGCCATACTGTGGAACATTCCAGGCAAAGCATTCCTGGTATCGAATATCGGCACTCATATTGAAAAAATTATGGATTGGATATCGATTCCAAGATATTGGTTGAGCCAGTGTCCCAGTATCTGGTGTATAAATTGGGGTAATAAGACGTTTACTGGCCCAAAACATCTTACAATACTACATTTTTATTTTTACAAAGCTATAATATACAGGGTATCCCCAGGTTTGCCTACCCCAAATTTAAGACATTTTTAAGACCTTTTTAAGACCACTTAAATGAAAATTAAGACCAACGTCGCACCCATTATGCAGGCGAAAAACACCAGACACAGTTCTAATGACCAACCAACTACCGATACTATATCTAGAATCTAAGGCTACGTTTATATGATGACGGTCTGAACAGAAGACACAAAAGTGGTGCAGCGTCTTCACTTTTTATTCCACGTTTAGATGAGCATTTTCGGAAGGAAATCTGCGTGCATATGGTGACGCAAAAGTGTGTGGAATTCGATTGAGTTTGCATGCCAGGTGGCTCGGTGGTGATGTATGTGACGTAAACGTGTACGCGACGTGAGCAGATCTGACCAGAGTTTTGCGTCTTGGACAGTGTAGACAAAACTGATTGTTTACTCACTGCCGCCGCCGCGCCGCCAAAAACCAAAGAATTGTCGTTCATTCATATTATGTTATTTCACGTTGTTGTTTTTTTCCCCCTCCCTCCATTTAACATTGAATTGAACTGCAGCCAGGTTGAGTAAACAAAAAAATAGGCTAATGAAATTTAAGACCTTTGTGAAAAAAATAAGACTTGGACAACATAATTTAAGAATTTTTAAGGCCTTATTTTAGGAACATGAAATTTAAGACCTTTTTAAGACTTTTAAGATACCCTGATATAAGTAAATGATATTTTCAGTCTCTGCCCTAGTATTGGTTGAAATTGGATATCGACAAATAGTAAAGGAAAAAACAAAAAACTCAGTGGATCGGTGCATTCCTATAAAAAAAACAGTACCAAAAGTAAAACATAGCAGGCCATTTGACAGCAACAGAAGCGCACAGAGCCATGTTTGGTGTGTCTGCTGGCCGTGCCTTACCTCTGCCACAGTGATGCAGTTTGGGTAAAGGTTGTGCACGATGTGGTTAGCCAGCATTAGGTAAACCAAAGAGTCTTCATCCACCTGTAGGCCAAAGTACTCGCTGTAGTCTCCGGAGAAGCCTGAGCCTGAGGAGTAAACAGCCACAATTTCAGCTCCCAAATCCCGCTCTCATCCTCTCTGAGTGCTCTGGCGCTTTCACTTGATATATTTTTGATATTGTTCACACTTTCCTGAGCGGTCCTAAGAGCCGGCCATAGCGCTGGACTGTGACTGCTAACCTGAAGGATAACATCTGAGAACATTGGCGTTTCTTTTCAATATAGTACGCCGAGGGTCAAATGGAAAAGGTTTAACACGGCGAAACCTGATGTATGAGATCTGACTCAGAAAAAAAAAAAAAAAAAAAGTCACTCACTCAAAGGAGCAGGCTGTCAAATATAATTATGTTGAATTGGCAGATTTTTTTGTTTTGTTTTAAATGATCAAGGTGAAATGCAGTGTGAAAAATGAGTGAATGTCTGAGCAAACATTCATAAAAACTCATAAAAGACCAGATTCTTGTCAGTATTTTCACACAATGGAAGAATTTGAATTTGAAACTGCAGTGGATTCGTCTAGACAGCAAGATAAATGGAGTGTGTTAGTACTTTTTTACCTAAATTATAGAGCTTATGACTTTCACATAATTCAGAAATACACTGTATACATAACATACACACAAAATGTATAAAGTTTCACATATTGAATCAGATGTAATGCATTTCCTAAGTGAGATTTTAGAAATGTTGGACTGACCACTTTGTGCTATAATTTTATATATACAAGATAATTACATAAAAATGTAATTATCACAATTATCACAAATATAGCAATAATTATATTTGCACTGTGAAAAGTCTCAAAATACAAGCTAGACTAGATCCATTTTTATACTGGAAACTTTTATACTGAAGTCTTTGTCATAATATTGCATAACTAACTGAATTTCCTTTGGGATCAATAAAGTTATTAGTATTAGTATTAGTATTAGTATTAGTATTAGTAGTCGTCGTAGTCGTAGTTGTAGCAGTGATGTAAGTGGTAGTAGTGGTAGTAGCAGTAGTCGTAGTAGTCATCATAGTGGCAGTAGTAGTAGTAGTAGTGGCAGTCGCAGTAGTAGTAGTAGTAGTAGTAGTAGTAGTAGTAGTAGTAGTAGTAGTAGTAGTAGTAGTAGTAGTAGTAGTAGTAGTAGTAGTAGTGGCAGTAGTAGTAGTAGTAGTAGTAGTAGTAGTAGTAGTAGTGGCAGTAGTAGTAGTAGTAGTAGTAGTAGTAGTAGTAGTAGTAGTGGCAGTAGTAGTAGTAGTGGCAGTAGTAGTAGTAGTAGTAGTAGTAGTAGTAGTAGTAGTAGTAGTAGTAGTAGTAGTGGCAGTAGTAGTAGTAGTAGTAGTGGCAGTAGTAGTAGTAGTAGTAGTAGTAGTAGTAGTAGTAGTAGTAGTGGCAGTAGTAGTAGTAGTGGCAGTAGTAGTAGTAGTGGCAGTAGTAGTAGTAGTAGTAGTAGTCAGTAGTAGTAGTAGTTAGTAGTAGTAGTAGTAGTAGTAGTAGTGCCAGTAGTAGTAGTAGTAGTAGTAGTAGTAGTAGTAGTAGTAGTAGTAGTAGTAGTAGTAGTAGTAGTAGTAGTAGTAGTAGTAGTAGTAGTAGTAGTAGTAGTAGTGGCAGTAGTAGTAGTAGTAGTGGCAGTAGTAGTAGTAGTAGTAGTAGTAGTAGTAGTAGTAGTAGTAGTAGTAGTAGTAGCAGTAGTAGTAGTAGTAGTAGTAGTAGTGGCAGTAGTAGTAGTAGTAGTAGTAGTAGTAGTAGTGGCAGTAGTAGTAGTAGTAGTAGTAGTAGTAGTAGTAGTAGTAGTAGTAGTAGTAGTGGCAGTAGTAGTAGTAGTAGTAGTAGTAGTAGTAGTGGCAGTAGTAGTAGTAGTAGTAGTAGTAGTAGTAGTGGCAGTAGTAGTAGTAGTCAGTAGTAGTAGTAGTAGTAGTAGCAGTAGTAGTAGTAGTAGTAGTAGTAGTGGCAGTAGTAGTAGTAGTAGTAGTAGTAGTAGTAGTAGTAGTAGTGGCAGTAGTAGTAGTAGTAGTAGTAGTAGTAGTAGTGGCAGTAGTAGTAGTAGTAGTAGTAGTGGCGTAGTAGTAGTAGTAGTAGTGGCAGTAGTAGTAGTAGTAGTAGTAGTAGTAGTAGTAGTGGCAGTAGTAGTAGTAGTGGCAGTAGTAGTAGTAGTAGTAGTAGTAGTAGTAGTGGCAGTAGTAGTAGTAGTGGCAGTAGTAGTAGTAGTAGTAGTAGTAGTAGTAGTAGTAGTAGTAGTAGTAGTAGTAGTAGTAGTGGCAGTAGTAGTAGTAGTAGTAGTAGTAGTAGTGGCAGTAGTAGTAGTAGTAGTAGTAGTAGTGGCAGTAGTAGTAGTAGTAGTAGTAGTAGTAGTAGTAGTAGTAGTAGTAGTAGTAGTAGGGCAGTAGTAGTAGTAGTAGTAGTGGCAGTAGTAGTAGTAGTAGTAGTGGCAGTAGTAGTAGTAGTAGTAGTAGTAGTAGTAGTAGTAGTGGCAGTAGTAGTAGTAGTAGTAGTGGCAGTAGTAGTAGTAGTAGTAGTGGCAGTAGTAGTAGTAGTAGTAGTAGTAGTAGTAGTAGTAGTAGTAGTAGTAGTAGTAGTAGTAGTAGTAGTGGCAGTAGTAGTAGTAGTAGTAGTAGTAGTAGTAGTGGCAGTAGTAGTAGTAGTAGTAGTAGTAGTGGCAGTAGTAGTAGTAGTAGTAGTAGTAGTAGTAGTGGCAGTAGTAGTAGTATAGTAGTAGTAGTAGTAGTAGTAGTAGTAGTAGTAGTAGTGGCAGTAGTAGTAGTAGTAGTAGTAGTAGTAGTGGCAGTAGTAGTAGTAGTAGTAGTAGTAGCAGTAGTAGTAGTAGTAGTAGTAGTAGTAGTAGTAGTAGTAGTAGTGGCAGTAGTAGTAGTAGTAGTAGTGGCAGTAGTAGTAGTAGTAGTAGTAGTAGTAGTAGTAGTGGCAGTAGTAGTAGTAGTAGTAGTGGCAGTAGTAGTAGTAGTAGTAGTAGTAGTGGCAGTAGTAGTAGTAGTAGTAGTGGCAGTAGTAGTAGTAGTAGTGGCAGTAGTAGTAGTAGTAGTAGTAGTAGTAGTAGTAGTAGTAGTAGTAGTGGCAGTAGTAAGTAGTAGTAGTAGTAGTAGTAGTAGTAGTAGTAGTAGTAGTAGTAGTAGTAGTAGTGGCAGTAGTAGTAGTAGTAGTAGTGGCAGTAGTAGTAGTAGTGGCAGTAGTAGTAGTGGCAGTAGTAGTAGTAGTAGTAGTAGTAGTGGCAGTAGTAGTAGTAGTAGTAGTAGTAGTAGTAGTAGTAGTAGTAGTAGTAGTAGTAGTAGTAGTAGTAGTAGTAGTGGCAGTAGTAGTAGTAGTAGTAGTAGTAGTGGCAGTAGTAGTAGTAGTAGTGGCAGTAGTAGTAGTAGTAGTAGTAGTAGTAGTGGCAGTAGTAGTAGTAGTAGTAGTAGTAGTAGTAGTAGTAGTAGTAGTAGTAGTAGTAGTAGTAGTAGTAGTAGTAGTGGCAGTAGTAGTAGTAGTAGTAGTAGTAGTAGTAGTGGCAGTAGTAGTAGTAGTAGTAGTAGTAGTAGTAGTAGTAGTAGTAGTGGCAGTAGTAGTAGTAGTAGTAGTAGTAGTAGTAGTAGTAGTAGTAGTAGTAGTAGTAGTAGTAGTAGTAGTAGTGGCAGTAGTAGTAGTAGTAGTAGTAGTAGTGGCAGTAGTAGTAGTGGCAGTAGTAGTAGTAGTAGTGGCAGTAGTAGTAGTAGTAGTAGTAGTAGTAGTAGTAGTAGTAGTAGTAGTGGCAGTAGTAGTAGTAGTAGTGGCAGTAGTAGTAGTAGTAGTAGTAGTAGTAGTGGCAGTAGTAGTAGTAGTAGTAGTAGTAGTAGTAGTAGTAGTAGTAGTAGTAGTAGTCGATATATCGGTCTGTCTCTAATTGTTATGGCTCTGTTAATGAGCGGTTCTTCTTACCGATCCCGTGGTGGTGGTAAAGCATCGAGGTGACTCCATCGAACCTGAAGCCGTCAAATTGGTACTCCTCCATCCACCAGCGCAGGTTTGACAGGAGAAAACGCTGCACCTCCCAACTGCACACACACACACACACACACACACACACACACACACACACACACACACACACACACAGAGGACAAGGTCAGAACAACAACAAGCTGTGCATTATTCACACATCTCATCAGGCTTTAGGAGATTCATTTTCTACGCCACGGGACATCCACACACGGAGTACTTCAACCCAAACCCCATTATGATCTGGGCAGGAGTGACAGGAGATGGCATTTTCATTAACTGCTCCGCGCAAGGGTCACGAGTTGTGCTTCGATGTGAGATTACATATTAGGCGAAAATTGAAATTTGGAAATGTCACAAAGAGGAAAAATGAAAATTAGGTAGCCTTTCATTAGCGCAAGAAAAATGACTCAAATCGCCCAGCAGTGACTTGAGATGGCGGGGGAGACATAATGTGCTTTATGATGGAGTGAGATTGAGAAGAATAGGCTGAAAAGAGATCACTGAAGGTAGACTTAAACAGACAAGGGTACAATGAGCTATAATGAATGGGTAGAAGACTTTGGCGCTTAGATCTCCGTAGTTAAAGAAATGCAATGAAGAGAGTAACTGTACTTGGGTTGTCAAAATCAGACACTAATCAATACTAAAACTAAGACTGAAACTAGACACTCTAGACATCTGAGCAGATATCGATGCTTAAAGGTCCTATATTACTGAAAATCAAATCATGTGAGATTTTAGTCATGTTATAATGCTGTTATCTCCTCAAAAACATATCTAGAGTTGTGTTTTGTTTCATTCACACATGCTCTAAAAAACGCTCTGTTTCACTTTGTAATGTCACGAAGAGGTAGTTTTCAAGTTAAAAGCCACCTTTCTATGACCTTTTGTTCAGTAGAGATCGGCAATTCTAGAGTTGAAATTATACAAATGATTCTAGTGAAGGTGTATCGGGTTTAAAATTACATCACAAGGAGAGGAGTATTTTCTTTCAGTGACACGAACGTAGCCTAAATCTGCAGGGTTTGTGTGTCAAACATGTGTGAATGAAACAAAACACAACTCCAGGTCTGTTTATGATGAGGATAGAGCTGCTCGATGATGGAAAAAATCATTAACGCAATTATTTTGGTCAATATTGAAATCACGATTACTCAAATGATTATTTTTAGTTACATGATGCATTTATTCAGCATTTCTCTCTCTCAAAAAAAAAAAACGTTGTTATTGATAATTTATGCAAAACTTTCAAACTGAAAATAAATATAGGCTACAAATACCTTAGAGCAGTACTGCGACGTATAAAACATAAAATTAATAAAATATACTTTGAAATAAGTTACAGAAAACGAAATGTATCCAAAATAAACTATATATTCAGTTGTTGTACAATCTCTATAATTACAAAATAAAATAAATATTCTTAATTATACAAAAAAATAGACTTTGTTAAAGGTTGTATAGAGGATTTTTTTAAGGGAAGAGAAATACAGCGAGAGTCCTTGTGCGCGTTCAGAATCACTGTTGAAGTTTCCTGTCTAGAGGTAATTTATCGACCGACGCGTCAGTTTTTAGACCCTTCGTCTGCTTCAGTCGCACCATCGGTGGAAGGAATCTCCAAGAATCACCTCAGTTTGTCTTCGCTCCTTTTCCCCTTCTCTCTTTCTTTCAGCGACCTCAAAAACGGACTTTCTTTTGCGGCGAACTGGTCATGGATTCTCGTCCGCCGTCTCAACAAGCTTTGTGCGAAATGCGAGGAAGCGACAGTTTAAAAAAGCCTCCAAGAACCGCTGCGTAAACCACATAATCCCCAAGCGCCGGCGAGTCACTTACACTAGGGAATTTGATTGACAACCTAACAGCCAATAGAAAATGAGGGAGTCTTGTTTTCTATTGGCTGATGTTTATCTGGCCTCAACACGTCAACAGTTGATGGATTTTCATTCTTTTTTTTTTTTTGATCATCATAATTACAAAGCTGCTGCGTCTCTGTAATGGTATTTTAAACTTTCATTGACAATTTGAAACAAACAAACAAAAACAAAAAAATCCTCCATACAACCTTTAAGCTTTAAATTGTTTCAACTCGATTATGAGTTTGGAGATTGTTTGACACACAAATCAAAATCACGATCAAAATTCAATTCATTGCACAGCCTTAGATGAGGACACATTATAACAGATCAGAAAGTAGTGTTTTGTAATATGGGCCCTTTAAAGAAATGCAATAAAGAGAGTACTGGTACTAGAGAGCCTAAAGTATCAGAAATTAGATACTAATCATTACTAAAAATAATATCTAAATTAGATCCTAATTCGAGCAGGTATCAATATGAAAAAAAAAAAAAGTCACATTCACAAGTCACTTATCCTGAATAACTTTAGAATGATCCTGGCTGTATCAGAACAAGTATAAGAGCACAAAGACTAGTACACACCCATGGACCACTGTGGTACTGACCTGGACCACTGAGGGTTTGCACAGATATACAAAGAACTATGATTTTGTTTTGAAAATCACATTCTGTTTAAAAAAAAAAAGCCTTTTTTTAAATTACCATCATGGTATTAGAATTGGTAGAGTAAGGGTGTGCAAAAATATCGAAATATCGTATCGCCGAATGTGATGGTACAGTATCGATATCATGGGCTGCTGTATCGTTCTATCGCCAAGAGTATTTTTTGGTATATTTTAGTACATTTTTACTAAACTCGTTTATTTGACACATTTGACATTTTCACTGTTTTGATGATTAAAATATTTGTGTTTCATATGAACTTTGCACAAGAAGTGGTTTAATAAAGACTTTTAGTACCACAGCCATGATTTAGCCTTTATTTTTTACCGTCTCGAATCAATCTGAAATATATCCTACTAAATCGAAGGTGCACTGTATCGAGATATGTATCGTATCGGCAGCTTCTTAATGATACCCAGCTCTACGGTAGAGTATTGAGTCTATTAGTACTGAAATCGAGTAATTTGTTTGTTAATGTGAGAATGTATTCATTATGGGATAGACATCAAGAAGAGAATAAACTGCAAGATGACAAAGCAGAGAGAGTGCATTCATTGTGAACAGCTTGATAGGTGTGGGTGTCTTGCTCAAGGACACTACAATAATGTGCAATAATGGTCAGAGTTGGGACCGAACAGCCACACTTCAAGTTACAAGATTACTACTGCACCAACTGTATCAAAACATGAATGAATATTGGGGCTCAAATCAGTCAAAATCCAAACTTTACAGTTTAAAAGAGGCATGTTTACATTTTCTGGTGGAGGATTTGACACCTGATTGTCTCCATGGAGATATTTATACTTTGCCTGGAAGGTTTCGCAGTATGGAATTAAACTTTCCCATCTCCAGGCCGAGTTACAGGTTCAATCCCACTCACAGAATCGATGTTTTTTGGTAACCGAATAAATACAAAGCAAATACCTTTAAGGCCTTTATGGTACTTTTAACTTATTGTACTGCTTAACAACATGGAACAAAGCAAAACCCTAAATAAATACATCATCATAGTTGTCTGTATCATCTATTATAGGTTCACTTTTCTGCTTGTCTCCATGGAGATGTTATTGCTTTACATAGTGCACCATTAAAAAACACGGCACAGTGTATAATCTAAAACAGACATTAAACAGTTGAAACTTAAAATACTTTGTTTCCCATCAGGCCGCACGCTTGGCACTTGGCACAGCTGCCCACCCTGTGTCTGTGCACTGATAGGATTGGGTGCTACACTCGGGTAAACAAACACTATGCATGGGAATTGGCTGCTCTTCCCTCAGGAGTTGATAAATCTCTAGGCTTAAGACGGGCTTTCTTCTTTAGCAACAGCCTCTGATGCACAAACAAGTGGCCAAAAACGTAAACAGCTGGTGGTGAATGAAGGTTTTCCAGCAGCTATGGGTCGTGGATGAGGGCAGGAGGTTTGAAAGTTGTTTGCTGTAGTAGTAGTTGTTGAAGTAGTTGAAAAAATAAATAACGCCATATTTTTTGGACTATAAGGCTACGTTCAGACTGCAGCCTGAAGTGACCCAAATCTGATTTTTGTATGTGACCTGTATCTGATCTTTTAATGACAGTCTGAATGACACAGATTCGATTTTTTCAAATGTGACCCAGGTCACTTGGATATGTGGTCCTAAAACCGATACATATTTGATCTTTTGACATGCGACTTCAGTCTGAACGGCCAAAGCGCATTCGTCCGACCTACACGTTATCAACAAGCCACAAACGTCACTATTCTGCGCTGAAGTCGACGAAAATTGTTAATAAACTCCGGGTCACTGAAGCGACGCACGTCACCACTCACCACTCTTGGTCTCCGTCTCCACATCCACACGTTCCTTTCAAAAGACGTCGCTGCCGCTGTCCCACAAAACACCACGGCCAAAAACCTCGTCCTTCTCCTTCTCAATCTCCTCCTCAAAACAGGTAAGTTGTTCATGTTCTGGCTCCGGTACGAGAGGAACTTTAAAATCTCCAGGTGCTCAATGCTCGCGTCCATGTTTGGACAACTTCCATAAACACAGAGCACGCTCGCTGTGGTTGAAGTCATCGTGTCCTCCAGTGCACATGCGGGACACTTTTGGGCTGTTTAACGTTCACACAGTGGATCACATACAAGTCGCATTTAATTGGAAATGTGAACGACCTCGCAAAAACATCAGATTTCACAACAAAATTGGAATTGAGCGTTAAGCCCTTAGTCTGAACGTAGCCTTAGTCGCACTTTTTTCATGGTTTGGGTGGTCCTGCGATTTATACTCCGGTGCGACTTGTATATAAAATTTTTCACACTGACAGTCTCGAGAGGGCGCTCTAGTCTTGTGTGTCAGCATCTTATTACTCCTGTACCTCTGTCACTTCACTCTACTACACATGTTCGCCTGCAGAAAGAGCCTCTGTCCTGTCTGTATCATGTCAGTCGATCACACCATTACTTCTGTACCACTGAAAATTAAAAATTTAAACATAAAGACAACTGAGAAGATTACAAGCTGCAAGTAGTGAAATATGCAGGTGAAAATGGTAAT